TCCGGTACCACGAATTCGCTGCACACACCGGTTGTTTCAAGCCAACTGCTCAGCAGCAGCAGCAGCAGCCAGCCGGAAGCACCGGGGATTCCCGGATCTCTACAGCCATCGCCAGCGAGCAACAGTGCCGAGCAGACCACCGGGCGATTCCTGAACATTCCTGGGACTGCTGGCTCGCTGCCAGCAGCGATGCGTGCGCCACCACCACTGGGCGCCCCATTTGTGAATAATTTTGTGCCAGCCGCAATCTCACCATACACCGCAATGACGACAAATTCTACGGCGCCCTCATCGCAGACAAGGCCACCACAACCACATCTTGCATTCACTGTACCACCGCCCAGGGTTATGCCTGTGGCACCACCAACTTCCCTAACAATCGCTCCCCCGGGATTGCTGGACTTCCCCAGTAGCTCAAGCACTTCGGCTTCTTCCCTCAGTCGGCATTCATTCCCAGCACCCTCGCCATCAAGCTCGAAATCCGCAGCAACAACCGGCATATCTCCGGCCAAAAATTTCCCCCCGAAACCACTGATACCCGCGACAAATGCTACTGCTAGGGACAGCACTGATCCAGCAACTTCAAGTGGTAATGGTACGTTACGGCACCAAGATTCCACCAGGAAACGTTCAGCCGGTGATTTCGATGCTCGTCGATTATCATCGTCATCGTTTGGGGGATATCGCGATGGTGGTGTTGCTTCTGCCGATGGTGGTAGTGGTGATGACAGAGGAGGTCGCGGTGATATGCGTGATCCACGAAGACGTGAACGTGATCGAAGCAGCCAAGAGCATGAGAATGGTGGTAGGCGTTATTCTAGTGATAATCGTACCATCACCACTCGTTTTCGAGATTATGATCGTGACAACAATCGCAATCGCCGTTACGAACCACCGCCACGAAACAGCGATCGACGTTAATCTCAGTGGCTTTTTTCGTATGGCCGGAAAGATCCAAAGTTTATTATTATTATTTTTACTTTTATTATTATCATTATTATTATTATTATTACTATTATTATTATCATTATTATTATCATTATCATTTTTATTATTATCATTATTATTATTATCGTCATTATTATTGTTATCATTATTATTATTATTTAACATATAACATAAACTGGTACTTCATTTTCAAGTCCTTTTTTGGGAGGAAGGGGAGAGGGGAGCGAGGGGGAAGAGGTGGGAAGGAAGGGGACAAGAGGAGGGCGATACCTTTAGATTTTTTCATGTGATGACTAGTACTGTAAAGCTTTGAATGTCGCACTTGAACATGTCATCATCGCATTTTTTTTGCCGTATTTTACTCACTGTTTTTTTTGGGTTGTTTTCAGGACATTCTTCATCTTCACATTACTGTTTTTTCATAGTTCTGTTGTAAAAAAAAATTGTTTCGCATTTAGAAGTTTTGTAATAGTTGGCACTGCTTCTTTCGTGTACTACAATATGTTATATAACGGAATTTTCATTGATTGTAACTGTGTGATTTTTTTTTTCTTTTTTGGAAGAAGTTATTGTTAATGTATTTGGGAGCAAAGAGACACCACCTTTGCGCTTCTTTTTTATGGGTTTTTTTGCAGCTATGCAATGCGGGAAGTGCATATTGACGAGAGGTTGTCTGTGTGTGTGTTTGTGTGTGCGCAGGGCCTCTGTACCGATTTTTTTGATACGGCGGTGCAGTAGTAAGGGTGTGCGGGTACAAAACCGGTGAAATAGGACCTGAGCTTAACATCAGTGTTGCCTTCTCCTCGGGCGAAAACACCCGCATGCGGGGCATTCCTCTCTATCTGGCTAGCCGATCTCTCTTCCGATTAGCTCTCATGTGGGCCTCTCGGATGCCGGAATAAAACAGTAGGCTTTGTAAATACAGAACCGGTGAAATAGGAAGCCCTGGTGATGCAAAACTGCTGCATCGGAACTTTGCTCGCTCTGAGCTCAGGCTTTTTCTGAGATACGAAAAACAGCCTGATCCATTTGTACAAGCATTTTTTGTAACTTGTGTGTGTGTTTTTTTTTAATGTAACATTCATTGGATGTTTCGCAGTGAGGCAGTTGCGCGTGATTTTTTTTTTTTTTTTT